CCCTCTGGGGAGGGGGGGGGGGTTGGTATGATAAGCACACCCGCTCAACTGCTGCAGACCAGCCTGCTCCTTTACCGGATTACAAAGTAACATGGCTCTGGGGAGGGGGTGGGGGCGGGGGGCATGACAAGCACACCCGCTCAACTGCTGCAGACCAGCCTGCTCTTTTACCGGAGTACAAAACAACATCGTTCTGGGGGGGGGGGGGGCTTGGGTGGGGGGCATGTCAGGCACACCCGCTCAACTGCTGCAGACCAGCCTGCTCTTTTACCGGATTACAAAGTAACATGGTTCTGGGGCGGGGGGCTGGGTGGGGGGATGGTAAGCATATCCGCTCAACTCTTCTACCGGATTACAAAATAACATGGCTTTGGGGGGGGGGGGGGGTTGGGGGGGGATGATACCGCATCACATTTTGTTTGGTTTCATTGGGGGTCGTGCTTAACAGGATCACAACCATCTAACCAAAACAGGACCCACATACGACCTCTGAAAAATGGAAGGGTCCGCCACTGACATGTCAACACGCATGCACACAACCACATACATGGACTCGCCAGCATACATAGTAACATATGTCATGAAACATACACGTCACATATGTCATGCGATATACACGCCAACAAGCACAAACAAGCGCATTCCTGCTCGCGCATGCGCGTATGTAAACATACATCGCCAGGCAAACATATCACACGCATGCATGCGCGATAAGCCTTCTGCAAAAAGCGATCCCGGAGCGATCCATTTGCGCGATCCCTAAGCGAACCATTCGCGCGACGCCTAAGCGACCCACTGCCCCACAGGTCAACGTGGGCTGGAACCCACGCCGAGCGCGTGACCACATTCGGCTCAATGCCAAGAGCCGGAGCCGCACCTCAGCAGGCGCAAGGTCTGACAAATCTCCATGACGAACCCTCGCGGTGCAAGAAATGCAGCAACTGAATGCCCTGCAACAAGGCGCGGGCGATACCAGTGCTTGGCCCTCTCTGCATCGCCTGCTTGTCCGCAAGCATGCACCAGGCAGGTGAGCGTCACAGCCTCAATGCACAACTAACTTGACCAACTGGCAGCACGGTCGCAAAGCCACATCACAAGCACGACTGTTCACAGTTGGGTTAGCATGGCCCTAGTGAAGAACGTGTCGTCTGCTGCCCGAGCCCGCACTAAGCAATATACATCAGCTTGAACTCGGTATTCGCGGGCCTGAAGCACCATCTGCACATTTCTCCGCGAGATGTCAGCAATGAATGAGCCGACACAACCGATGAAAGCTTGAACTGCTCCAGCTGTTCGATGCAGCTGCTCAGCCGCCACTAGTCCAGCGACCAAACGAGAAGACACAGAGTACCCGGCTCTGTTGAACCACGACTCTGCTGCCGACAAGTTGCCTGGCGGCGTTGGGTCAAATGTGAATCCCCATAAACCATGCTGGTGCTTGAAGGGCATCTGTTTTGTGCCATGCCTTGGACAACAGCTGCGTGGACAACAGCATTGAGTTCCACCTCGTCACGCCTTCAAGGCTACGGACGTGCAACTGGAAGAGACTAACAGCAAGTGTTTAACATTACAAAAGGGCAAACAACCAAACCAAAGCTCAAGCGTTTAGATGAGAAACAAGCATCTGTTAAACGTTTTCAAGTTTTTCCAAGTCCCATCGCTGCTTGATCATAAGCTCCCCATTAGATTTGTTTGCTTCCAAGAGGACCTTGAAGATTAAAAGAAGGCTCCTGACTTCTCAAGGTCAAAGAGGGTACCCGCATCATGCCATTTAAGGTGAAACCCATGTAGTTCGTTTCCTGACTAGGGTCCGGCTCATTCGGGTACAACATTTAAACCGGTCTTAAGTCGTTTTGCGCAACATCACGACTTGCCAAGGCTGTAAACAACCAAACCTGCACGTCGAGCTCCGACAAGCAAAGCGCAATCACCTAGATGAGAAAGAAGAACCGTTTTCTTCACTAACTCGCACGGACCAACACTGATTTGTGACTTTGTTTGAAGTTCTTGCAAGAGTCCCATCTGAGCTTGACTGCAAGCTCTAGAAAGCCTCTCTTCCAAGAGAACCTCAAGTTTAAAAAATTGCATATCTTCGCGTGGTGTCCGTTTTTGCTGGCAGGGTCTGCAGGAACCACGTCTTCAGCCATGAAAGCACTAATGTCACAAAGAACCAAAACTGCGCTGATGATATTGTCGCAGCACAATCAGCCAAGAATTAACCTCATAATCGATTATTGTTCAGAAGCTGCCAAGAATCAACATGAGGCCCAATTCTTTCTCAGAAGCTGCCAAAGAAAGCCTAAACCTGTCTTTAATTTCTCGAAATGAGTTGACATGGAAAAAGGCTAAATCTGGAGAGGCATTAACATCCATATGAATACCTTACAAAACTGTCAAAAAGGGACTCAAATCCAAAGAATGAAAGCAAGTGAGAGTCTTAATTGACACTTGTTTCAACTTCTTTTCCGTGCAACTTAGGCTAGGGTGCGGATTTATTTTGGGATTTTTTTTCGTTTTGTTTTGGGATTTTTTTTCGTTTTTCGTCCGGGCCAGCAAAATGTCGTATTTTACAGCATGTTCTCGCGAAATTGACGCATTTTACACTAGCTCGTCAACATCCCCAGCATCGTTTTCAACATCCCCCGCATGTCCGACCAACATCCCTAGCATCACCAACAAATCGTGGGTAACAAAATCCAAAAATGTAGCTGGCGGGTTGACGGGGTCAAAACAATGACGCTTCAAACAGGAGGGCATTTCAATCCCAGCAAAAAAAATACAAAAAAAACAATTAAGAAAAACAGAGCGGGGTAGTGATGATTCGAACAGGGGTGCAATTAAATCTCTGCAAAAAGTCTAAAAAGTAGCGGGGGGGTTGGGGGGGGGCGGCAGCCCCCCCCCATGATGGTCGAAGAATTGATGATTCAACTAGGGGTGCAAACCCCCCCATGATGTTCGAAGAATTGATGATTCAACTAGGGGTGCAACTAATTAAATCTCTGCAGAAAATCTAAAACGTAGCGGGGGGGTTGGGGGGGGGGCAGCCCCCCCATGATGTCGGAAAAACGCCACCTGCCGAAGAGGAACTGGGAATGCAGAGGATGCGAAAAGCCAAAAAGCCACCAAAAGCCGCATAAACCAGCAAAAAGCCGAAAAGAAGAAGCCTAGAAGCCCAGAAGCCGAAAAGCCAAGAAGCCGAAAAGCCAAGAAGCCAAGAAGCCAAGAAGCCAAGAAGCCCAGAAGCCGAGAAGCCGAGAAGCCGAGAAGCCAAGAAGCCGAAAAGCCAAGAAGCCAAGAAGCCGAGAAGCCAAGAAGCCAAGAAGCCAAGAAGCCAAGAAGCCAAGAAGCCAAGAAGCCAAGAAGCCAAGAAGCCAAGAAGCCAAAAGCGAAAAAAAATCCCAAAAAAAAACGAAAAAAAATCCTAAAATAAATACCCCTCCCTTAGGCTATCACTATGAGCTCACACAATCGCACAACCCAGCTCAGGCATGCTCGCAAAGTCCTGTGGGTGAGGCGCGGACTTTGCCCCAAAGAGCTTGGCCTCGGCTGGCGGAGTACACAAGTCGTTTTCAACCCGAGGCCGTTGAGGGCTCCGCCTTGGCAAACCATTCCTCAGCACCTCAGACGGCCCCACAAACCAAGAAGGCGCCAAGATGCGCCAAGCACAGGGCTCTGCAAGTCACCCCGCTGCGCAGCCTGGAAGGAAGCTAGTGGGAAAGCCCCGCCCCATTGAGCCAGGAACCTTTGCAAAGCTGTTCGATTGGGCTTTACTTGTCTTTGTGGGGGACTCAACATAAATTCAGAAAACCTATGGGCCGGCCTGATCAATGAGCGGGGAGAAGGTGGCTACATTCAAGCGCAGCCGCCGCCTCAAGTCCACCGGACTCGGATGAAACTTTGCAAGTTGATAGCAGTCAAGTTCACCGGCAAATGTTAAACAGTTGAGTTTCAGACAAATGTCATAGCCAAATGTCATAGCCAAATGTCAAACAAATGTCATAGCCAAATGTCAAACAAGTCATAGCCTTGTCATAGCCTTTTCCTCGACTGCCGATCCAAGCTCCAGGCGCCCAGGCCTGTTGCAGGCACTGCCGCACCTCCTCCTCCCGACGCCCACGCAGAGCAAAGTCCATGCGCTGGGACCTAAGGCTCGCGACGAATCGACGAATGAGTCGTAACTGCTTTACTGTTTTTTGCAGGCTGTCCTTGGCACACACGCCCCTTCATAACCATATTGAGAACATAGAAAGTGTTTTCCTTAGGAACCCAGGGTGGTTCCTTCCTTAGTTCCGTACGACCGTGACTACAAAATTTGGGCCATTAAGAGATCCACCAAACCCATGGTAAAGAATGACAATTATTGCACAATGTCTGGATGGTTGGGACTGTTCCCCTAGCCTTCATCTATGCAGGCTCAGACTGCAGGACAAACGCAGAGCCGGCGATCAGCTTCCGTAGAAAAATATGTCCGTCGCATTAAGCCGCGCACAGCTCAGGCGACTCTTCTCGGCTCTTGGCATCCCGGGGCCGCCTCAGTCATAGAACCCCCGACCCTTCCCCGACAACCCTCAAAGCGCCTCGGCATCACATACCTGCAGCACCGGGCCATCCCCCAACCAACAAGGAAAACAGCCCCAGGCAAGTGACTCCGAGAGAGGAGGACAATTGCTAGCCTCACGCGATCGATGCACAGCTCGAGACAGCCCTCCCGCAATCACATTACCATCTCAGGGAAGAATGGTCCAAAACAGGAAGAGATCCCCACAGATTCCACATAGGTATGAGTCTTTCTCGGGCACCCACAGAACAGCAGCGAGACCTCCTGACAGCTTGGAGTTCTGACCATCAGGCTCTGAGCTGCGCCAAACCAGCGAAACGTGGCCTGTCATCGCCCGTCAGCATCATCACTGCAAGAGGCGCGCCAAAGCTGCAATCGTCGCATTGGGCATGCGCCAACGCCCAGCAAAAAAAGGTCGCGATGGCGCTGCAAAGCCGATTAGATGGCTGCACTGGCACACAAGTTCAGGGAGAGCTGCAACCATCCAGCTTGCAGTGCAGGAGGGCACTCGATTTGCGAAAGGCATTTTTCCTCAGAATCACTGCCCAGGCATGGCACCGTTTGGACCTGAGAAGGCCTGCCACGCGTTGGCTCAGGCAACCCACACTGGCTGTGTGCTGAGTTAGTAACACAGCGCCAGGAATCACTCCTCGCCTCTGAGAAGACCCGTTTTACTCCGCCTGCATTTGCTTGGGCAGCTGTGATGCCTGCAGTCTCCAAATCCGCCGGGCTGAGAATCCGCCATCCACCAGCTGGGCAGAAATTCTGACAGCCGAATCATCTGAGGCCACAGCGTAGCTCGTGGTCCCCATGAGCGTAGCTACAGCTGGCGCCCCGCGCGCACTGCCCGATCTCGAAGTACCGGCACATCCTGCCCATGGCCCGAAAAGGCCCGAGCGAGGGGGCCGGGTTCCCAAAGACAGGGAGAACTTCTTTGCACATTGGGTGCCCTGGCGTCGTCTTGTATGTGGGCGCGTTGGGGTTGATGTTGGGCGCTGCCATACCCAATGCTGCTGCGATCACCGCCGGGTCATGCGAGAAAGGGCATGAAGCCTCAGGCGACAACGCCACTCCTTCCGGTGCCCACCATAAATCGCCACTGCAGCAAAGCGACCCCGTTCTTGCACATGCCCGGGGTCTTCAAGTGGAACCTCGGGGGTTAAGCTGCTCAAGCCACGTGGCTGGAGAACTCCCCCAAGGACCGAGCCTGCAGGGGATCACCTTCCACCATTTGCAATTTGGTTCGACTGCTACCCTCCAACAATGGAAGTTGACAGGAGCGTTTTGGAAGACTACAGTAGCTTCCTTTTGAACAACCCCACGTGTCCATATCCATGATTTGGCCAAAAAAAAGTAACTTCCCTCGCTGGCACCTTGCCACCTTTCACAGGCCCTGGAGGCGGTCCACCTCAGTTGAGCCCTGCTCGGCTCATTTCGCAACTCGGACATCAAAGCCCCCGACGCGGCATGCCAGCCATGGCCCAGGGGTCGGCAGGCATGCCCACATAGCCACCCAGACCTGATTGTCTCCACGGCTAGCGATTCAGTTGCCCACAAGGCATGGGAACTGTTGACAAAACTTCTCATTTATCTTCGGCACCTTTGACGCCCTTGCCCATTGGCATTGGCGGCCGCATCATTGGCGCCGAACGCCGGCTCTCCACCTCAGCTCCGGGGCCCAGCGTCAGGCCCCTTCAGGACATTGGACATTTCTCCAAGGTCCTGGCATCCCGGATCTTCTTGCGCAAAGCCTGAGAGACTGAAGCACCAAGTTGCCTAACAGCAGCCCCGGGCAATGCGACTCGGACGGGACATAAGGCTGAGACCTCCTCCCCTCGGTTGCACAATTGTACGGCTAGATGGCTTTGTTGTGGGTCGATGAGTCGACAAACTTTGCATCGGCAGCGAGGAACAAGTGAAAACGGAGATCAGTTGGCTGTCTTCTCAAGTATTTTGTGCCTTGATACACTCACCATCACGCACCCTTCAAGTATTTTCCTTGCTTCAAGCCTTTCGAATGTCTCATTTTTCCTAACCAACTGCGAAGCGTCTTGGGCTGGGCAAATCAGCACCTGTGCGTCCATCTCGGAAGGTTCCTCTTTTGATGGGTGCAATTGTTGCTTCCCTGCGCTCTCCAGCTGTCTGTCTGACTCCTGGTGTTCGTCTTCATAATATGCCACAAAAGAGGGGTTCCTCAGTTTGATGAATCACACACCTGGAGTTCGACCCAAACCCATGGCAAAGAATACAATGTATATCGCTTAACACACCTGATTCTGGCACTCCCCCCCAACCTTTCCACCGGTCCACCGGTTTTGATGGCATCTGCAACCAGGGCTCCCTCGTGCAGGCGATCCGGGGGCCCCCGGATGCAAGCCACCTGCTTGCCCGGCATTGCCATAGGGTCCACCTCTGCAGCCTGCAGCTGGTTCGGTTCAGTTCAGTGAACCCAGGAACCTTTCCCCAGCCCGTTGCGCACGCCCCGGTTCAATTTCACGGGGATGTGATTTTATGAGCAAGCAGGTGATAATGCTGTGGAAACCACGGCTTCAACTGGAGGAACTTGAGCGAAGCCCTTGACTTGAGGACCTCACTTGTATAAACTTGATCTTGCAGCCAGTTGTATCGAAGATGTGCCGCAAGTTGGCGCCGCCAGGCCCGATCACTTGGCCCACAACCGTCGGATCCTGAGAGGACCATAGCAAGCTGCACAACATCTTCACCTGACAGCTGGCGCAGGCACTAAGCCTGAGACAACATCGACGATCTTTGAAGCCCATCCATCCCTGCAAGCATGAAAGGCCATCGGAACGACCTGGCAAACCTCCAGTTGCGCAAGGTAGGACGAACGAAAGGAAAATTGCCAGCCAGCGGAAGACCAAATAGCAACCCCAGAATGCAATGCGCCTGGGTTGGTATTGCTCAGCTAAGCGCTCGTGAAT